AGAAGGTAAAGGTGCCTGGAGTTTGAAATGTGTAATGAATCATCAGGTCCTTTACCTCGTTTGCCCCAACAGTTTGTGTATTTCAGACATGGGATCCAGGAGGACATCCAGCCAGCTGTCCCAGTGTGAGAGTCCCAGGGCTGGCTGGGTGGGCAGACCCACCCTGGTAACAGAGGCTTCTCCAGCCCAGGACTGTGTCCCACACTGGGTTTTGGAGGGGTTGTGAGCTGCCTGGCAGCACAATCTAGCTAAGCTCCAGTACTCAGGATCATTTGTATGTCAGATGAGGGAACAAAGATAGGTATGTTTTGTTTATCTTTTGGGAAAGGAAGTGAGAGAAGGGCCTTCCCTGTCTCAGGCTCTACACTGAATCATTCAGATACCCGTAATCTAGTGAGCACACTTTTGGAAGCAGTTGATCTTCATGAAAACCTGTTTAAAATGAGGCTGGCTGCCCACAGGGCTGCATGCTGGCAGTGTGAGGAGGAGGATGCTGCAGCACAGCCACCCTACCTGGCTGTGAAGCACCTAAGGCCCCGTGGGCATCATCCAAACCAACAAGGTGAGGCATGATGTGCGGGGTGCGATTTAGGTGCATCACAACCAGGGGGAGGACTCTGCTCGTGGAACTGGTGCCATGCGAGCCTTGGCAAATGAATGCTGTGGGAGGAAATGCAGAGCTATTTGCCATGTAAATAGGTTTTTAATTGCGTTTCAGAGCCCCTCCCTTCATGCTGTTAAGTTTGACTTTGAAGTGAAGGCCAAAGAGTTGTTATCTGCTCTGAAGGCAGAGCAAACATGTCATGTTATCACCTTTTTGCCCTGTGTGTGAGGGAACCAGGCACACCAGATACCAGTGTTGTCTTCCTTGGACCTTCCCTGGGAGTCCAGAGTCGAGTTTAACACAAACGAACCATGTAAATTGCTTTGTTTTAATGTCTTGGCTAAAAAGACACAAACCCAAATATTTCCTTTTCCCGTGTCTCCCTAGTTGAGCTGGGGAGGGTTTCCTGCCTGGGCTGGCTGTGCCTGCAGCACCAGCTTGCCTTCAACTCAGACTGAAGCCCTGACTGACAGGGGTGAGCTGAGACCTGTGGTCACCCAAGCAAAAGTCTGCTTCTGCAGCTGGGAAGGGTTTGTTGTCAGCCTGTAGCCAGGGCCACTGCCACTCCTCAGGCACCAGGGACAAATCCTGAATCCCTTTGTCTGTGCACAACAAGGAACTTTGTTCAGTGTTTTGAAAATATTTGGTGTTGGATGTTGGACGTTTTCTTTCTCAAATGGGGTTAAGTGGTTTCCTCTTCCCTTCAAAATGAGTACACTTCCAAACCACTAAGCTGGTGAGTATTGACTGACTCACCAATGGGATTAGTGGAGATCAAACACATTATGTCTGGTTTACTTGGACCTGGGCTTGTTGCAAGCCTGAATGTGAGGCTTCCACTGGTGAGACAGTCCTAAGCTGCTGTGCGTGTGCTGAAAACCAACTGTTGGGTTGGTTGGATGGGGAGCAGAGTTCAAGAGAAAGGTTAATCCTTTGTTCCTTGCCCATTCATACCACAGAAATGAGAGAAGACAAGCCAAACCCACCACCACAAGACCCCCTGTTAATGGTTTCTTTGCAAACAGAGGTTTATCTCTTATCAAGGACCAAACCTTTGCACAGTGTTGTTGCAGCTCATGTTCACCTACTGAATCACTTGGGGGAAGTGCAAGTTAGACATTACCCCTCTCCCCAGGCCTTATCAGTCTTTGAGGATTTAATACTGAAGAGAGCCTACGTGCTCTGCTGAATGCAGTCTGTGCTGGTTGGCAGCTCCTGAGGTTCAATTGCTCTTCCCCCTGTTGTGCCCTGGCAGCCCTGTGCCTCCCAGCAGTGATCCCAACTCTCCACTCCTTCCTGGAGCTGCTGTGCAGCATCAGAGGTTCTCTGCTGTCATACTTTGATGGATGCACCCCACGAGCATTGCTGCAGAGAGCACCCAGAGCCACCCATGCTCCAGTCCTGCTGGCATCTCCGCCGTTGCCAGGCTCTGCCTGCTCTTCTCCTGCAGAAATAGCTGCCAGGCTCTGCTAGTGCTGCTCAAAATAGTCTGGGAGGAAGCAAACGACTAGACCAAACAAACAGGATAGATCTCTGCTGTCTCATGGAGACCAGGGCCTCTGCCTGGAACCTGGGCACCGTGTGGGAATCCTGACCTGATGCAGGGTTTGCTGGGAGTGGAGCAGGGCAGGATGCAGCCATCCCTTCAGAGGCTGGAGACCTGGACCCAAGGGCACGAGGCTGAGGAGTCGTAGGGGTAGCTAGGCTTTGTGTGCCTGGGTCTGCTGGCTGCCAGAGGAGCTAGGATGTTGGGGATGGAAAGCCTGGCAGCCAGGAGAGATGCACTGCATCTTTTAGCCCACGGCATGACCCTTGGGAGTGCAGTGCTGGCTTTCATCCTCTGTGGTGTTCCCCTCTTGTGCAAACACCCAAGCACACCTGAAGCTGTGCAAATACTCCTCACTGTGTTAAATCCATCGTGACCTTGGTGGTCATGCTAGATAATTAAGTTTTAACTCCTTGTAGGGA